ATTCATCTGTGCACTCTAAAACAAAAGTTGAACATTTTACATTTGCCTTTTTGAGTTATTCCAACTTCTAATGAAATCATGTGCAACCAACAAACTATATTGAGTTAAGGAAATTTCTCTTTCCTCTACAATCGATGGCATTTTAAAAGACCAATTACCTAGCAATTAGCTGCACAAACACAGTTTTTAAAGACTTGAAATCCTGGACTCGCAGTGGACAAAAAAAATGTAATTATCAACTCAATTTAATTCATTTACCACAACTTGAATTTTGTTTAAAATCAAATGCGGACATTTCTGTCTAAATGACACACAATATTAAGTTGGTGTAATTATCAACATCATTTGTCAACGCAGTTCAACAAAACTGTGCTCGCAGCTTGAAAGATCTTTCTATATCAGGAAATTAGAATTTGTAATGTTTTTGAGTGGTGGTATTAAGTCCCATGAATTACTTTTTAGAGTATTGGTGTTTTACTTAAAAGTCGCTTCTGGTCTGCTTCTGTTTCAGGCGCTCTGGTTATTTCAGCATATGCTGTTTGTCCTGACATCACTGCCACCGTGACGCCCGATCTTGAGGATCCAGATGGCAAAGGTACAACACACTCAGACAAACAACTCACACATACACAGCTTCAAATCTTATTGCTCATGATTAATAAAACAGTGTGTCTGGCTGTCAGAGTTTCCAGCTAGTGACTGCAGAAACAGGATTCACAGTGTTTAAATATCCTCATTGTTGCGAGCTTCTCTCGCCCACATCACACACATCTTACTCTCACATAGCACACTCAGTAACAGACGGCCCGAACCGACCTTCTGTCCTCTGTCTGCAGGCGTGTTGTTGTGGGTTCCTCTCAGTCCAGGCCGTCACCGTCTGGGAGGTTCTGCCCTGGCTCAGTGCTACAGCCAGCTGGGAGACTGCTCTCCTGACCTGGACCAGCCAGGACTATTGACTGCCTGCTTCAGCACCACTCAGGAGCTCATACGCGGTCAGTTTGCGCTCGCAGGGAAGACATCTACCTGCTGCAGAGGGGGAAAAAAGTTCAGCGTTGTTTAGTGTGACTCAGTCTGTGGGCAAACTTTTGTTAGTATGCAGCCTTGGCTTTGTGCTGTGATGAGACCGCCACCTAGTGGTTTCACTGTTCAAAGTTTTGGTTAAAAAAAATCTTGTTGCGGAAGAAAATCTAGATCTTTTGTCTGTTTTCTCAGATCGTCTGTTGAGTGCAGGACACGATATCAGCGATGGAGGCCTTATTTCTTGCTTGCTAGAGATGGCGTTTGCAGGAAACCGTGGGGTTGACGTTGAGTTGTCGTCACAAGGAGCTGGAGGTCAGTGAGCTGATGTGTTATTGATTTTAGCTTCAGGATATAAACTGTTGTGATTGTAGATTCATGCTGGGTTTCTGCTGCCTTTTGTCGTCTGTGCAGTCATGGAGCTGTTGTTCAGCGAAGAGCTCGGCTTGGTTCTGGAGGTTTCACACTCGGATTTAGAAGCTGTGTGTCAGAGATACAGTGAGGCAGGAGTTCAGTGTCGTCCCATCGGCAGAACCTGCGGCTTCGGACCAGAGGCGACGGTGAGACGTAGACCTCAAGCACCACCTTTGCCTCAAAGCCTTTTCTCTTCATCCATGATGACCGCTGTTTTCTGTTTCCTGCACTTGTGTTCCAGGTCAATGTCCGTGTGGATGGACAGGAGGTGCTGAGAGAGCGGCTGCCTGACCTCAGAGCTCTGTGGGAGGAAACCAGTTTCCAGCTGGAGCGCCTCCAAGCCAATGAGCTCTGTGTTAAACAGGAAGAGGAGGGTCTGTCTCAGAGGACTGAGCCGTACTTCAAACTGACCTTTGACCCCTCTGAGATGCCCAGCATCAGCCAGCTTTGTAAGACTAAAATTTATTTGTGCCATTATGAGAGATCTAGTGTATTCTACAGCTGCAGCTAATGGTTATTGTCATTATGAAGTCATCTGTCAGTTTACCGTCTAAAGTATTTTCTGGACATTTATTTGCCCCCGTCACATTTTTAAAATTTTGAACTGCAGTATAAAGTCCTGCACTTCTATGGGAATCCCGCAGCCATTTTTTTTTCTATACTTGTCTCCTATCAAGTCTGAAAAAAAAAAAAAAAAAAAACAGCTAAAAAGTCTCTGAATTTTAGTGAAATGACTGTTGGACACAGTAGAGTCACCCATGGTTTTTGGTTGCACACAGAATTCTTTGCTTTTTGTCGAATCCAGTTAAACTAAGCAGTTTATATTTGACATTTTTTAAAAAAAAGGAAAAAAAAGAGACATGTAGAATAACGTGATTTAGAATAAATATCACAGTTTTAAGCTCATTTTAGGTTCATTTTTCAGACATAACTGAAAGTCGCACATGATAAGTTCAAGGACCGTCGGAAAGTTGAGAATTCAACAATTCCTCCTGGTTTTACAGTTTCTGACTCTTATACACGGTGTCATTTTTTCAAAAAGATAACATGACGTTCAAACCCACTGGTGAGTTTTGGGGTTCAAAAGACTAAATCACTTATCTATAAATTATACTCTACAGTGATCATCTTCTTAAAGTAATGATGAGTCTTGATATTTATGAGTTTATGTTTTGTGAAAATTGTTTTTTTTTTGTTTTTTTTTACTTGCTCATCTCTGTGACATGTTTTGTTTTTTTCAGCTGCAGGAAATCCACGTGTCGCTGTGGTCAGAGAGGAGGGCAGCAACGGAGATCGAGAGATGTCCGTCTCTCTGTATATGGCCGGCTTTGAGGTCATTAATGAAAGCATTATGGACTGGATATTTGTTGATCCAAGCATGTTTCCTTATGCTCATTATTTAATCCTCCTATCACATATGCAGGTTTGGGATGTCACCATGCAGGACCTGTGCTCGGGCTCCGTGACCCTGGAACCTTTCAAAGCAGTCGTGTTTGTCGGCGGATTCAGCTACGCAGACGTCCTGGGATCAGCTAAAGGCAAGTAAACAAACATCAGGATCAACTTCACTGGCCAAGTTTGTACACGCAAACAAGGAATTTGACTCTGGTGAATCTTGGCTCTCTGTATAAGATATAAAAGAAATAAACTAGAACATGCAATCACTGATGGACCACTTTGAGATACAGCTGTTCTTGTGTAACACCATATTTCTGTCATGAAGGCTGGGCTGCTACTGTCGCTTACAACCCCAAGGCCAAAGATGAATTCGAACGCTTCCGGCAACGGACTGACACATTGAGTCTTGGAGTGTGTAATGGCTGCCAGCTGCTCGCGCTACTGGGCTGGGTGGGCGAGGGCGAGGACGGGGCAGGTAAGGAGAGAAGGAATAGTAAGAAAAAGGCAGAACAATGCAGTCGTAGTGAAGTGACACAGTGTTATAGAAGAGAAAGTTTAAATAGTTTCTGCTTCTGATGTTTTAGTTGGATTGTTTTGTTTTTTTTCCCCCTATTTTTCCTCAGAGTCTGAAGTGGTGCTGACCCATAATAAGTCTGGCAGGTTTGAGTCCCGGTTCGTCAGCGTTGGGATCCAGGACTCTCCGTCCGTCTGGCTGAGAGGCATGCAGGGCTCTGCTCTGGGAGTCTGGGTTGCACATGGAGAAGGTAAAGTTATAGAGCAAGTGGCATAGCAGCTCTTAAATGATCATTAATGTGAGAAAACCCAGTGTGCTGTCCACTGGCACCAGTTTTGCTAATAACCATCAACAAATCTTGTACCTGCTGTGGAATGCATCTCTGAACTGTAACTGAGCATCATAAGGTTAATCAGTGTGAAAGTTTGGAAGTTACACAACAGCAATTTATCCTGCTGACTCACAAGTCACAGGTCAGCGTGTTCTGTAATCGGCAGCTGTGTTTAATATTGATTTTCCCCTAACTTTGCTCTCTCCCCGCCAGGTCTGATGCAATTTCGTAGCTCCCAGGCCCAGGACCTGATTATTTCTAGAGGGTTTGCGCCGCTCCGTTACCTCGACGACCAGGGTCGCCCCACTGAACAGTATCCTCTGAACCCCAACGGCTCCCCGCAGGGCGTCGCAGGGCTCTGCTCCAGAGACGGCAGGCACCTGGCCATGATGCCCCATCCGGAGCGCTCCACCCTGGGCTGGCAGTGGCCCTGGGCCCCGAGAGACTTCAGACCTTCCCTCACACCTTCACCGTGGCTTGGCATGTTCAGGAACGCAGCTGCCTGGTGCAGCAACACAGAGTGATAAAACTCCATTCTCCATGTCTGTGCTGTTGTCCAAATAATGGGGTTGTGTTAACTGGAACCATGGGGCTTGTTTACATTGTGTAATACACTTTCCTACTTACTGTGGTACTTGTTTTAGGTCTTTATGTAATATTACTGCTTGCTGTACTTTATACCTTTGAGGCTATTATGGATTGAGGACTTTATATACATTCCAAAGGTTTAATTCTAGTAACAACTAGATAAATAACTTTATGTAAACTGCACTAATCAGATCTGCTGACTTTGTCACTGTTGCTCTGCCGAAATGTTTGAAACTCAACTTTTGAATAAATGAATAAAACACAACCATGTGTAGTGTGATATATGATAAAGAAAAGCCCCATTAAGACAATAAATATTCTTTATTTTAACCATAAAAACATAAAGTCATACAACAACAAGTATTTACAGAGATGTCAACATTACAGTGCATATGTGACAACCTTTCTTTAGCTACCTCAAACAAAGTGACAAAGTTGCTGCCCACTTAGAGGAGTAAAAATGACACCTTGGTCACTTTTTGGGGGGGTAAGGTGCTAAAAATTGTGAATTACTGAAATATACAGGATTAATTTACAATTCTAATTGACACTAAAGATTTCAGAAGTCAAACGCTTCATAACTCGAGGATTTGTAACCGCCATCGAACCAGGACGCTTTTGTCTTTCGGATTTCGCTCTCACACAGGCTCTGTAAACACTTATCAAACAGACATGGAGTCTGAGTCCACATTCTGAGCAGCTCAGACACCATCTGATGTCTTGACTGTTACATGCTGTGCTGCTGTCAATATTCTTGCATCCACTAATCCAACCAGCTACAGCCAGAAGGAAGAAATCCAATGAAAGTCCGTGTCGAACAGCTTGTACTGACGCTCTCCAGCTGCATCTGTCTCACAGTGAATTCCCCATTACTCCCCGTGAGGACGGAGCAGCCTCTCCTCTCTCTGGCGCCATTTGCTGGTTGATGTTAATAACACAAGTGAGCAGCAGAAAGACCACCACCAGGTCGTCCAGGACCCCCAGCAGTCCGCACAGGGAGGGGTCTGTTTCCAGGGAGCTGGATGATGAGGACGCCTGGTCCAGAGGAGGGGAGGAGATGGATAACACGGTCCCCACGCAGCACAGGGCCACCCTGAAGAGAAACAGCCCAACCAGGCCTCCCATGGTGCCCACGCCTCGCGCCAGTAACTGCAGAAGAAGGGGGGCGTCGCAGAGGTAGTCGGTTACCTGGGGGGGTAAAGGTGACAGGAGTCAAAAGGGGTTCTGGATGTGATCATTTACACATTCAAGCATGATGTAAAAGAGTCCGATTTTTGTGGATACAGCTCCTCTAGATCAGTCAGTCAGGCTATTTATATAGTCCTTTTTATACAAATGAAATGCAACACAATGTATTTTACAGACAAAAGGAATAAAAATGCAACAAATCAAAACAAACAACCCCCAACATGAAGAACACAGGGATTGAGGAAGTGAGGAAATGCTATCCTAAATAACACCTGCAATGAACACCCGATGAGACAACATTTAGAAACAAAATTAAAGATAGATAAGTGAAGGGCAACATAGAAGTCAAAATTTGAATAAGAAATTCAAGATAAGCTGTATTTGTCATGAATCTCTTGAATCTATTTACATAGTTTATTCAATGGACCATTATTATCTTATTCAGTTTATATACATTTTGAAATAAGTGAATAAATAGAGAAATCTATAAATACAATTAATTCTAAGAAGGGTCATAAGTAAATAAAATCCACCAAAAGTCTGACTTAAAAGGTAGGTCTTGGCTTTGCCTGTAAAAAATATCACTCAGGATTTCCTATTATAATTCATATTATTATTTGTAACTGGTTTAAAAAAGGGTGGAAAAAAAAGTCATTCTGCACACGTTTGCCATTTTTTTCAGGATTACTGTTCTTTAACCATCAACTAAGCCTCACATCTCCTTCAGTTTACTTATGCAAGAGTGGGTAAACGAGATCCTCGTGGGAAATCAGTTCAACAGAAAGGAAATACACGTCCAAAGTAGGCCACCTTGTGTGAAGTTGCGTAAGAGGTATACCTGTTACTGAACCTTTCATTAGACCAGAGGTCTCCAATCCTGGTCCTCGAGAGCCACAGTCCTGCATGTTTTAGGTGTTTCTCTCTTCCAACACACCTGATTCACATGATCAGGATCGTTATCAGGCTTCTGCAGAGCTTAATAATGAGCTGATCATTTGAATCAGGTGTGTTGGAAGAGGGAAACATCTAAAACATGCAGGACTGTGGCTCTCGAGGACCAGGATTGGAGACCCCTGCATTAGATGAAATACTGGAATTCTCCTCCACTGTTTTAATCTATCCTGACGTAGCTTTCAAAGCCGTAAAAAAAAAAAAAAAAAAACCCTGATCCCTTTACACAACCAGACAGCTTCCAATACAGATACTGATGAGTGGCCTGTTGGGAGGCGTCGATACATTGACGTGTTCAAAGGAGCTCTCACCTTTCTTGGGGCTCCGGAATAACGTTTGTTGTAGTCAGTGATTTCCCCAAGAACCTTCTTCGACTGCTGGCTCTCATTGAATAGGTGGCACAGCACGCTGACCTAGACAACCGCAGGCGTTTTTAATATTTCATGCTCGCGCTCAATATGTGTTAATCACATACAGAAAAAAAAAACATTTTGTACCTTTTGTCTGCAGAGAGGACAGCTGATCGCGTCCAACCATGACCCGTGTCTCCAGTAGGCGATGAGACAGGGAGCTGCAGAGGCAAATACACAACTTTTAATATTGAAATCAAATGATATTTACATTAGAAACATTAGAAAAGGTGACAACCATGCAAAATGTTCAGTGTTGTGTAATTGTTAATGATAAGAAAAAGAAGTGTTTGGGTGGTCAAAGGGTAAAAAAAGGCTTTAAGTGTGAAAGACTGGGTAAGTGGGGCAGTTGTATATGTGTTACAATATGTTGAATAAGGTGAAAGGGAACGTGTGCACTTGCATAGAAACATGTCTGTAATCTCTAACAGATAATATCAAGGTTAAACAGAGGCTCATCTGTGCCATAAATATTTACTGTAAGTGGTTTTCTATTTGTAGCAACAAAAAGAAGAGTTCTTGTCAAAAAACAGACCTAAAAAGACTAAAATACTTGTAGTTGCATGTGTCTTTTCTCTAGCTACAGATCATATAGAAGGCAAATTTGTCCTAGAATCGCTGCACTGGCTTCTATTATGCACTAGAATTAACATTAATTTGTCTGTAAGTGCAGAGTTCGACAATAAATTCTAGATATGCTTGACAGCCACAAGCCACCAAGACTTCAAGTGCTGGGTCTGCTTATCTTACTGCACCAAGTTATTAAGTCTGGTCAAGCTACCTTTAGGTTCTGACTTCATTTAAAAGCAGCCCAAATAAATTTCAGCGAGCAAATAAGACTAATAATGGCGAGCAGATAAAGTATTTCCCCTGTTTTGTAATCTTCTCCACCGACGAGAAGCAGAGTTGGGAAACCATGGCAACAGTTAATTATTGAGAGGTGAACGGACGGGCCTGAAGGCTTAAAACACATTGATGCTTCAGCGGTCAGCGAATGAGTGACACAGACTCTGATATAAACACATGATGTAAGAGGTGAGCAAGTGTGAGAATGTATGAAAAATGAACAAGTCTGATGTGATACCGAGCCAGAAACATATTCGGCTTGTCTGTGTGATCTCGTACCACAGAACAAATGTCCACAGTTGGTCTGGACGGGGAATCTGGCCGTCTGCAGGCAGACTGGACAGTGCCAGTCTCGTCTGCTGCTTGTGGATGGACACAACTGCGTAGATTCCTAAACAGATGAGAGAAAAAAAAGAGAGGGATGTTAAAAGAAACTGAAACCAATTTTTTCTATTCCTGATACTGTGTGCTGTATAATCTTCCAGCAGGCTTAATAATAGATCCACAATACGTGTCAGACGTGAAAACAATGAGATTATTATCATTTGTTTGGCGACACCAGACTGTGACCCTGATAAAAGCAATAATTATCACCTCACAGGAGTGCCTGGCAGTTGTAATATTATCTCCTGCCTGTGTGCTTCTAGAAATAAACTGTGTTGTGAACTTTTCTTCACGTCAACTTTTAGAATCACCAAAGTTTCTGATTTTCGCACCAACACAAACAGCGACAAACGTAAGTGTGAAGCCTGTTGAAAGCATGAAATACGATAATAAGTGAAGAACCTGCACAACATCAGCTGCGAAAATCTCACCTTGTGGCAGCTCATGTTGGCCGCTCAGGTGTTCGCGCCGAAGATCTGGGTGGCCCTGGATGACCTTTAACCCTCTGCACCCTCAGAGCGGAGATGGTCTGATCTGCAACGTGACGATGACGAACACACCTTGAATACTCACAGATTGTGCTGGAGGAGAAACACACACACATACGGTAACTGAGGATTTGTGAGATAAGGTTGATTGAACTTGTGTCTGATGCAACAGTTTGACAGTTTACTGAAATGATTTTGAAGCCTAACCTGCAATATAAACTAAAATTAACCATTTGGAGTGATGCAAATATAAATCTAGCAATAGTATTCAAATTAAAGCAGCTCTATCAAAGCTTTTATTCTGCTTGATAATTAACTTCACCAACACATTCTGGCTTTTATCAACGGATTACTTTTACAGTGAGTATAGTAATAAGGAAAGACATGTAGAATCATATCAGCAGATTGCTAATATTTAAGAAAAAAAAACACTTTCACTTTTAAAGCTGTTGTTCAAAATGATTTAGATGAAAGTCCTGAAATATAAAATCTCCCCAAATCTAAATTAATAAAAACATGCAAAACATTATTTCTGTTCACAAACCCATAAGAAAATGAGACTCACCTGGACTGAAAATCAGCAGTAGAGGTGTGTAGTTGTTCTAAACGCAGCTGTTTCCAGTATTCACTGTCTCCTAGAAGGAAGTGAAGTGCTGCACGACAGCATCACTGGTCACAATAAATTGGAGCTGTTCGTTAATGATCAACTCCACTCCAATATCAGCTGGTCTCGGAGTCTCTCTGCTCAAAGGGAGCAGCAGTGCAGGCGGATCGATACGGCACTGTTTTGTATATCACGGGGGACGACTCCAAAACACCCTCACCCAACTCCACGACAGATTTGAATCGACTTTGAGTGTAAAAAATTATTCAGATCAGTTAAATCTTAAAATCTGCACGTTTGTCCCCTCAGAGCAATCAGAGCCAAACTATTTGGACCGCATGACCGCAGATCAAAGCCAGCAAAGATTCCTCCCACACTGTGTTTAAGTAGGTTAGATCTGAAATCACCAATCATTTACCCACAGTTTACTCTGCCAAAACCCTGTTCACAGAACGCACGTCTTACCATAACTAAAGTCAAACAGCTTATCACTATCTTACACAGAACGCAATATAAATGTTGATAATCAACCCAGGAGGCCTCAAGCTTTAATGTGAATGCAATGTTACCAAATGTTATTCTACTATTCTTTTAAAATGAATGGAAAGTCAAAGTGTTGTATGAATGACTCCAAAAGTTTCAAACAGACGCCTGCACACTGTCCAAAAGTACATTTATTTTCAAGGTTTCATTGCTAGACCTTCATCAGGCAGATGGTTTGGTACAAAGAGAAGCCATGTACGATAGCAAGGCATGAACTACAAAGCATTATTTCACTAAATAACAACTTTCAACAACATAAAAAAGTAAGAATCATGAAAGTATTCCAAAATTGTGTACACCAAACAAGTAAAATACCAGGATTTTAATGCTTGACACTGATTAAAAGACAAAAATATATGTGTAGATGAACCTGCAATTGCAATAAAGAAATGACACAAAATGCACAAATTTATCAGATAACATTCAACATAGGAAAGAGGAAATGTTAACATCATAATAAATCACTTTAATAGTAACTCAAGACCCTCCCCAGTACAATACATAGCATCTAAGAGTCCAGGATCCCTGCAGCATTAATGTGCATAAATTAACACAATCAACATGCTCACTGGCAAATGAAGAGGGTGCATATGTGGATATGTGTCTGCATCCCAGACTGTCTGGAACTGGACAAAAGCATGTTTTTAACGCCTTATTCTGCACTTAGACCCCTCAGATCAGATAATGAGTTTATGTTAAAAGTCCCATGATCCAGCTTTAACCCTCCTATTACTGTCAAATAATTACCTTCAGAATCTTTTACCCTTGGGTTCAATTTGATCCCAGCAATTTAAACATCCAGAAAATATCAGACTTAAAATTGCTACCCAAGTTTATGTGTAAATAGCCCTTTAAATAAAACTGAAAAAAATGTGTCAATGACTTATCTAGAGCTGTTAAACACTGAATGGGGTCAAATTGACCCCAAAGATAATAAAGTTAAACTTGTTTTTAGCCCCAACACTCTGGAACGAAGTGTCCCTTACAGTCTGAACAGCTCAGTCACTGCTTCAGTTCAAAAACCCTTTAAAAACCCATCTGTACAGATATTTGTGGAATGATTTTTCTAATGTTTTGTTGTTGCCCTTTTTTAATGTTTCTTTACAACTGTTTTATTGTCGTCTTTTAATGTTTTATTGTCGCTTTCAAATGCTTTTCATATTTAAATGTATTATAAAGGTTCAGTTTTGGAAGGGCTCTAGAAATACAGTTTATCATCATAGTTTTATTAAGGCATAGACAGAGGAATGACTTAAAATACACGAAGAGAGTAGGAAATGAAAATACTTTTTCTTTATTGTACTAAATGCCAGCAATTTAAATAAAAACTGCTCAGTATGTGGCAGTGAGCAGCGATGTGACGGCCCTCCCATAGTTCACCAGGGCTCTTCATTGCACCTCTGATAACAGCTGGAGAGTTAGTGTAGTTCAGGTCATCTAAAAATAGCTGGCGTCTCTCAGTGCAGGTCAGGGTTCCAGAGCGCCACAAACCAGCAGATAAAACAGAGGTGCTCATCCATTGGCAGGTAAACACAGAACAGAGGCTGCTCCTGCAGGCCGTGTGGGTAAAGTCCGGCCTCAGCTCTTACACACACTCATTTTAGGATTTTGTGACATATCAGTAGGATGTTTGCACTCACAGACTGTATGCAGTGTATGTTTGCTCTATACATGATGTAAGCATCCCTTGCAGTAAATTTAGATTTGTTTGTAGTTTTCCATATTGTGGCTCCAGGGAGCAGTGACACAAGGACAGTTTCTTATCTTAAAGTGACTAATAGCAGACAGTCTGCTGTCAATTACAAACATTACACATGTCCTCACGTGAGATGGGTAAATGAATAACCTGAGGAGGTTTATTATATTCATGAGAAATGATTTACCTTCAGGGTAGGACTGACATGCTGACAGGGTTTTAGTGGCGGTCTGGGAACACTCTTCATAACAGAAACTGTTTATTGTTAGTATAGATGGAAAAATGAGGCTAAAGGGATTAACATTCCAATATTTTTTCAGCTCTAAACAATTCCTGGTAAAAGTGGCTGTCCAGGACTTTTAGTCTGTTGGGTTATTGGGTGAGTTTATGTACTATTTTACAGCAGGTCACGTACTCAAACATGACACACTGCAATAAAAACTTGTTGACTGGGAAGGCACTGTGAGCCAAATAGAAAGTAAAACTATATTTTTGGGAGTGTTTGGAGTCCCCCCCCCCTTCCAGTATTTTGACTCACGTTCAGTTTTGTGTTGTTTCGGCTGTAACTTTAAATTTGATTGCATTTTTTTTCTGGTCAGCTGTTCTGAGTGTCTTTGTGGAAACTCCACATTGTTTTTTTCTGACCATATCACTGTGCTATCATAAGCAGACACGTGTTTAAAGATTTTTGTCCACATGTTGGACAAAAGGCCTCTTATAACTTTGATAACTTTATGTAGGGGGGAAAAAGATTTTAAACTACAAAAATTGATAACATGCAAACATACATCTCTTGTATTTAACAATCTCACAGTATCCACCAACAATAGAACAGTGCGTCTCATAATAAATGTTATGTTTTTGTACAGATAATTGAGGCGTCAACAAATCCACATCTCGCTCTCTCATTGGTCATACCGCGGTTTACTAGCTGTCAATCTTCACAGATCTCGATGCTGATTGGATTCAGCGTGTATTATCCCCGCCCCCTCCTTCGCTTCGCCGCAACTCAGCCTGTGCGCAAACTAAGAAGCTGCGCCATTCTCGTATATTTTACGTTATTTTATAGCGTAACAGGTTTTCACTTGCCTCTGAGCTACGTATCTGTCGTTAGACGTCTACCTTTGGCAGCAGGTGAGGTCAAATGCAGAGGAAGGGAGCGGAAGAGCTTTGCGGACAGGTGGAGGAAAATATATTTTAGCTTTTAGCTAAAAAAAAAAACAAAAACAAAAAAGGCGACAAATGGACGACAACAAAACGGCGCTGGTCGAGAGCCTCATCGTATGGGTGAGTTTATTTGCTGCTGCGAATGAGTCCTGAAGACACTGGAGCGGTTTAATTTACCTGTTCGAGGCGGGTGGAGGTGTCAGCGGTACACTCCTCAGCTGCCGAGAGGAAACGAAGCAAGAACGCGGCGGTCAGTTTAGCTAACAGCAGCTATTAGAGAGATTAGCTCCATCTGTCAGTCCACCGGTAAGAAACACAGCGAGGTGAGGAACACAAATCCTCCTTCATCCTGCAAGACTGTGGAATATGAAGTTATCACCCTGCACACACACAAACACAACAGTATCACCCAGTTTACTCTCATTGGACTTACACTGCTAATCCAATTAACCGGGGATATTTGTGGAATGTGGCTCTTTGCATGTTTTGTTGTGTAACTGATTAAATGCAGCTAACACCAGCTGTAGTTGTGCATTTATCCCAGCCACGGCTAGCTAGCTTAGCATGGTTTGCAGATGTTTATGGGTGTGAATGCACGTTTTGTTGCCGATCCCATTAAGATAAGCGGTTTATTAGTTAGATCCCGTGTCAGGTGCATCTGACACCCTGCTGAATCTATAATCTAAATCAATCACTTTGTTGGACAACAGTGTCACCTAGTCACAGATGAACTTATCCCATCAGGGTTTCATGCCACGAAAATGTAGAAAAAAAAAAGAAAAACAATCAACCTTTGTGTCTATTTAGGCAATCAAAGTTCCCATTCAAAGTAGAGCTGAACAGAATGCAAATTAAATAGAAAGATTTTGTAATGTGAGTCATGATCATCGAAACTTGTATGAAGGTGATGATTCCCTCATGTCTGGACAATATGAATTGTAAGCTGGAGTATCTTTGTAACACCTCAAAGCTTTATTTATAATGTCCCATTTTAACCTTATCAAGAAATTGCAGGTTCTTCAATTTGGATCTTGCATTTGGCTTTCCTGCATTTGTTTCAAGTCATTCTTCTGCCCTGGTTTGAAGTTAAAAGTTGTGGACTGGCATTTTAATGCTGCCAAGCTGTGGTTATCGTCCTTTTGGACTAAAACTGGTCAGTTGGAATGAACCTCTCTTGGTTTAGTGATTTCTATAAACAGCAGGGTGTGTGTACTTCACAGTTGGACAGCTCTTGTTTGGGGAAAAAGGAATCTTAGATCAGGAGTATTCACCTTACACCGCAGCTTCTACTTGAATTATTTATGGATTCACTTAAGCAGGGTGGTTTTTGTTTTTGCTTGGCTGTTGTGGTTCCATTGCCACTGTCACATGCTGTCTAACCTGTCCCTCTCCCTCTATTCATTCATCAGTTCCTCTCTGTCCTGTATTTTCACCTCTCACCTTGACTTATTCTCCAAACGAGTTTTGAACCACTTGCAGAATTGTGAAGAAACCTTTGACTGATGAACACTTCTGTAGTATTCCCTGTGCTTCCCGTGGATTGTTGACTGCTGTGTTTTCTGCCTCTCAGCTGCAGACGTTCAACACTCCCGCACGCTGCACGACAGTGGAGGAGCTGACTACTGGAGCGGCAATGTCACAGGCGCTGCATCAAATGTGAGAGAGCACATACATTATTTAGTTACAACCAGTTTTGTTAAGCACGAGTAATTCACTAAACACAACACTACAGCCCGAAGCCGTGCAGCGGAAACACTAGGGATAGTATACTTCTGCACAGATGTATTACAGCAAAAATAGATGCTTTTGTTCACCATGTAGCCCCAGTGAAGTGTTCTAGTGTAGCGTGCAAAAGTCCGGATTCCACTTTCAAACACAAAAAGCTGCTGTCATGTTCTCACATTTCTGGTTCCATTTGTTGTTTTGACAAGCTATTTTTCAATTACGTAAGTCTTCAGCAAACACAGGATAGTGTCAGACACTCGATCACACAGTCATTGTGTTAGTTTAGTATATACCACTTTGCTCCAGTGCTGATCCAGTTTTACGTCACACAGCAGTCTTGAGACTCCGAAATGCATCAAAGCAAGAAACGTCTTCTTCTCTTTTCACTGTTACATTATCTAGAAACTAGCTTTATACCATGTACAACCAACAGCTGAATGAAAGAACAAAGTATTGTTAAAAATAATTCAGTCAAATGTAGGAATTAAATAGCTGGAGTAAAAAAAATAAAGTTGAAAGACAGTAGATTACAGCATTGAATTCAACAATACCATCTAAACTATATCTAGCAGTCACATCACTCAATGAGAAGTCAACTGTTGTCTCCCTCTGTGTGCTACAGAGACCCAGCGTGGTTCACTGAAGCGTGGCTTGGTCGCATCAAAACAGATGTTGGGGACAACTGGAGACTGAAGGTACAAAGTGCTGTCATGTCCCCCGTCCACCATCTGTCCTCTCTGACTCTTCTCTTCATCTCCGTTAGCTCCAAACTTGCCAAACTGTCCTTTACACTAACCTCCAACCTCCTCCAGAGGCGCTGCTTCTGGCTCAGCCCACACTGTGACCCTGTGCTCTGACTCCTCTGGTGAAATGTGTCCGTGTATGTTTGCCCAAATATGCCAGCTGTGGGAAATATAAGGGTCATCTAGAGAAAAAGGGGCATTTTCTCTTCTGCTTTTTGTGATGGTCCCAGCTTTTTTTTCCACAGAAGGTTGCAACAAAAACACAAGTAAATGACATGTATAGATAATAGAAATGATTTCTGGTCCTACTGGGACACTGAAAATAGGCATCTTTATTTATTTTGGCAACTCAATATCCCTCCTATGATGATGACTTATTTTGACATCTATGAGTGTGAAACTTCATTTGTCCTCTTGACCTTTATTTAAAATACAAACAAACTTCATAATATTTTCTTAATCCTGTGTCTGTTCTCCTCAGATGAACAACCTGAAGAAGATCCTTCAGATGGTGGTTGACTATTATAATGAGGTACGAAGAAAACAACACACCCTTCTTTGTCGTAGAGTGATTGGTGGAAACACCTTCTGTACCTGAGACGTGGACTCTGTGTACTCATTCAATTCTTTTGGGAGCTGTATTGTGCTCTGTTCGCAAAGCCCCAGGAGACTTGACCAAAGGACAATACAGTGTGCAGCTGAGATCAAAATATGCATCTAGCAGCTAAAGCATTGTACCCAAGGCGTCTGCAATATCATAAAGCACAGAAATCCAGCAGTTCAATTTTTTTTTTTAGCCATATAAATGCACGATTTAACTTTTTTATTTGTCAAGCCTCTTAGTTGTACCAAAACTGTACTAGAACAGCTGTTTACAGGTGTTGCTTTGGAAGTCAGTGCAGTTTCTTACTGTATTGGTGTTCAATTTTCTGTCTTACACTTGGTTGTGTACATATATTTGTGCACCATCAGGTCTTAGGCCAGGAAATCTCCAACTTTCCCCTGCCAGAGCTGCCGCTGGTGGCGGAGCATTCAGACCCTGTGGAGCTGGGGAGGCTGCTGCAGCTCATTCTGGGCTGCGCTGTCAGATGTGAGCGCAAACAAGGTATGCAACAGCTTGTATGTTACTAGGTATAAGTACTGTGCATGAATCAGACCTTAACAGAAGCCATGTACTAAAGTGTCCACAGTATACATGTGTTGTTCAGTGTAGACAGAAAATGGGAATTGTTGTCGTCAAAATGCAGTTAGGTTAAAGCCGTCTGCCAAACAATGTTTAATTATTGCCCTGCCAAGCCACAGACAAAGGCAGAGCTCATCAGGCGGCCTGGCTCGCAAACCAACGAGGACAGTGTTGCTTTTGAAAGCTGCAACACAAGATTATATAAAAAAAAAAGAAAAGAAAAAGAAATGGTGTGTATGTGTGTCATGAATCTCTCTTATTATATTGCCAGAATACATTCAGATCATCATGACCCTGGAGGAGTCTGTGCAGCATGTTGTCATGACAGCCATCCAGGAGGTCAGTCCATCTTATTACCAAATCAAATTCTGCCTCACTCAAGTTAGATGCAACAATGATATCCAGAAAAGCTTTGTTGAGCAGTTGTGCCTTTCAGCAATGACTTGTCTTAAAAGGGCTTCAGCAGCAGCAGCAGCAGAAGGTGTTGAAGAAGGGCAGAGGGCATGCTTTGATGTGGTTAAAATAGATCGAGGCTTTGCAGCTCTTTTAATGAGTGTGTGTAATAAACCCAGTGACATTTTCCCCCTCAGCTCATGAGTAAAGAGATCATGGCCCCATTTGGAGCAGAGCTGTCAGGGGACTTGGAACAGCAGGTCAGTGTTATTACTACAGAGATTCCTCTGAATGCATTCATGTAATGTTGGGACTTTGTGCTGTGAGACTCTCTAATGAAGTGAATATGGAGATGCAACTCTAATGTCCAGTTGAACTTTTACCACTGCAAAAGAAACTAAATAAAAGTAGCATTCTAACATCTATTTTCATTTGCAGCTAATTTTAAAGCAACATTTTACATCCATCCATCCATCCATCCATCCATTATCTATACACCGCTCAATCCTCACTAGGGTCGCGGGGGGGCTGGAGTCTATCCCAGCCGACTTAGGGCGAAGGCAGGGGACACCCTGGACAGGTCGCCAGTCTATAAATCATCATATCCAGGCATTATAACAGTCAAAATATTCACATAAAATACAGTAATTCACCTTTGTTGTGCCTAAAAAAACTAACATGAACATTTACACGAAGCAGCCACAACATTAAAACCACTTAAAATGGAATAAACATTATTGATTACCTTGCAAAAGTGGCACCTGTCAAGGGGTGGGATGTACTGGTCAGCAAGTAAAGTGTCAGGTGTTGAAGCTGATGTATTGGAGAGAGGATAAAGGGCAACATGAGGATCTGAACAACTTTGACAAGGATGGTTAGACAACTGGATCAATGCACATCCAAATTGGCATTCCTGATATGGAGTAGTTTGAAAATACCACAAGTGTTCCAAGAAAAGCTTACCAGTAAACCAGCGACGGGTTCATGATGCTGCTTCCATCCACTTTGCAAAAATGATTCGGAAACAGTTAAGGGACATTACAGAGATGTCTTGGCCTCCAAATTCACCAGATTTCAGTTCAACTGAGCATCTGTGAGATGTGGTGTGAAAAGCGTGGCATTCCACAGATCTGCTGGTAATGTCATGGTGCCTGAAACCACAGGACATCTTCAGAGGTCTGTGGAGTTTAGGGCTTCAGAACTACATCGGAACAGTTTTGGTGGCACAAGAGAGGGACTTGCACAATATTAGGCAGGTGGTTTTAATGTTGTGGCACAACTGTGTGATTGAATACTTGACTGCTCAGCTCGTCATTGTGTTGTGCTCTGCGCTTTACCACTGTGCAGAGAATCCCAGAGCTCAAATATTGACATGCGTTGCACTCTGTAGCGCTCTGGGCATCAGAGGCCTCGACAGGAAAATGAAATGAGGGATCAGTCCTGTGTAACAGGCTTGACATTGGGTGAAAATTGAAAATTGCTATCCCTTGATGATTTCACACTGGTTTTACTTCAGTCAAGAGGGAAAATATGCAGTGAATGAAAATTAGTTGACAGTTGAAGAAGGCTTTAAGAACCTTTTGAGCCTTCTGACCTGAAAAATAAAGCGGTAAAAGGAATCTTTCTTTGCTCTTTCTGATGCATGTGGGCAACTTATGATGCTAGTTAATTCAGCTTTTCATTCATGTGGTCAGCTTAAAAAAGCCCTGGAGGACCTTGCTGAAGCTATGGGAGAAAAGGAAGCACTCGCCCAACGCTGTCAAGAGCTGGACATACAGGTGAATACAAAGCTCTCACACACATGCACTCCCTGCAAAAAGAAATGTTCCAGAAAAATATATGTTAATATCATTCACTTCCAGCTGTTTACCCTCAGTACCATCTCATAAGTTTGCAGATATTTAGCTCTTCATATGCACACACACACACACGCATGCCTTGGTACAGTATAAACAGGAGTTGTGTAATTTGCTGTAATGCTGGGGTCCATTGTCTGGAGCTGCTGTGGCAGAATAACTGTGGGCTTACAGTCTGGGCTCTGCTAGTCCCACCGTGGCATCCAGCCCACACTCTCCCACTGCTAGAAGGCCTCATCAGCACAGTACATGCAGACTAAACTTAGCAAAGACACTCATCAACTGTTCAACTGGACTCTCGACAGATTGATTTGTTCTGTCCCCAGTGTTGCTCGTCTGTCGTCGCAGGAAGGTAAGTCCAACACGGCTGACCGTCGGGCAAAACTAAACCCATCTAAACCAGCTGCTCAAACGTTTACTCTAACTCAGCTAACAGGCGGCTCAACCTGGGTTCTCTTCGTGACAAGTCATGCGGCGCTTTGTTAATAATTTTCTTTATTATTCCAGTAATTCACCAACAACATCTGTTTGTTATATCAACCGTTTTGTTTATCTTCTTTTGGGGAAAGCAGCAGAATATTGTTTTGAAGTTTACCTTGGTCTATACTACACAGCACAGTATCGTTCATAAGATACATTTACAGATAATTTGATATTATTTGGTGTGGACATGCAGTCGAACTGTCTTGTGATGATCGTATGTAACGATTTCAAGCAAACTGAAATCTGAAGGCAACAATGTGAGTCGCTGAACACTTTATTTTACTTGTGAAAAGTTTTGTCAGTTGCATTGCATGACAGTGGAATATGAATTGCACATGCAGGTTTATTCTGTTGTTTTGTATACATTTTTCACATGTATTCTAACAATATTGATGTCAACCATATTGCCCGGCCCTAGTTGAATGGGTAAACTCTGTTTTTATCTATTTTAAAAGCATGTTGTAAGCAAGACTTTAACAGTAACATGCTTATCCAGTGTCTGGTGAACTGGTAAAGCTAGTAAAGCAGGCGTGAGGAAATGACCGTGGAGAAGGAAAACTAACTAACCGTGTATTAACATGTTTGCAAAGTGCACTTTGTCTGTGCTCTGCTTCCAGCATGGATTAACTGCACTGTTTGTTTAACAGCTGGGAGAGGAAGAGAGTTATTTGAAATTTCTTGCTCAGATGTGGCTTTTCTGCTTTGCATGCAATAATTGACCAAGAAGAGAATTAACATCACATTTAATTATTTTTTTTTTTGTCCAACTGGCTTTAATTTGCCTGAACTTTGAAATTATACTTTGTTGTGAGAGTGGCTCTTCTCACCTCGTTGTTTCTGGACAGGTGGCTGTTCTTCAGGAGGAACGGAACAGTTTATTGGCTGAGAATGATGTCCTAACGGACCGAGCCAATCAGCTGGACACGTTCGACGACCCGAGCACGCCCTCAGGAAGAAAACACAATCAGTTACAGCAGCAGCTGGAAACCCTTCAGGAGGAGAACTTCAGGTTTGCTGTTTTCCTCTTAAACAGACCTCAGCTATCTCATTGTGATAAAATCCAAACAGTTAGGTGTATTTGTCGCTCTCAGGCTGGAGGCTGCTAAGGATGACTACCGGATCCACTGTGAAGAGTTGGAGAAGCAGCTGATTGAGGTTCAGCACCGTAATGACGAACTCACCAGCCTGGCGGAGGAATCACGAGCTCTCAAAGATGAACTGGATGTCCTGAGGTGTGTGTCTGTCGGAGGAAGTGTACTGAGATAGCAGATTTGGAATTATTTTATCTTTTAAAGCAGAGTGCAGGCCATAAAAACAAACGTGGAAAGGTTAAAAAGCAGCGCCGGAGGAGCAGTATACCTGCAGACATCTTAATGAGAACCTAGCAGACAGCTGGGTCAGTGAGGTGGAGAGGGAACACCAGACTATGATGTCTCTGACAGAGCTGCTCCACTAGAAAAGTTCTGATCCTAGATTTGACTCTGATCTTGAACGGTGAAACCAGGGCGCCACCTTGTGAATCAGCTGTGTTTCCACTTGTTTGACACACAGTTTTTTACAGCATATTTACGTCAGGGAAAATCAAACACCGTGGCGGACCTTGTGTTATTTACCTGCAGGCTTTTAGCATCTTATTGGCAACATTGACTTCACTCCAATGGAGGTAAATGAGCTTATAGTGGACAATGAGATTTTTTGTTTGTAGACTTCATTGCTTTACCCTTTAAAACAAGAAGTGTCCGCTTAGAATGTTGTTTGTTCTTTATCTTTAGTTTTTTGGTGAAAACAGATGACCCTTGAGTATTTCATCAGTCTAGAGGAGCTAATCAGGGAAACTTGCTGATGTTGTGTTTCCTGACCTTGATGGAGAGATCTGACTTTTTGCTTGAGCAGAAGCAGAAAAACATCAGCACACAATGTATTGTGCAGACACAAAGCAAAATAACAACATTTTAACAAAGGTACAGCATATTTGAAACCCAACATTCCTTATTTGTACTATTACGAAGGAATTAAAGCTGTAGGATAAAAAAGGCTTCTATCTGAGACAGTATGTTATCACAGTTTTAGCAAAGTACAAACTGTCAAACGTAGACGCTTGACAAACCTATACCTTTTTTTTTCAGGCATGAAAATATGTTTGCTTTGCACAATTAAATATGGAAACTTAAAGTCATCGTATATAGTATAATACCGCTCCTATGTGCAGATTGAAGTATACCTGAAAGTCTTTCTCTGGTTCCCTTTTCATATTTGAAATAAAGCAAAACACTTGACTTACGAGCTTGTGCACTGATATTTGTGCTTTTGTATTGAAATCCTACAGGAACTGCTCTGATCGGGTCGTGATGCTCGAGGCCTCGGTGGAAACGTACAAGCGTAAACTGGAGAATCTGGGTGATCTAAAGAGGCAGATGAAGCTGTTGGAGGAGAATAATATGACCTACATGCAAAACACCGTCAGTCTGGAGGAAGAGCTGCGCAAGGCCAACGCTGCCCGTGCACAGCTGGAGACATACAAGAGACAGGTACACAGCATGGTTGGAAATTAAAAAGAGTAGTCCACACAGTTTTAATAATCTCACACATTGAAAGAATGTGTTTGGTGCCACATGCTGTGTTGCTTGTTTAGGTCCAGGAGCTACACAAGAAGCTGTCTGAGGAGAGCAGGCGGGCAGACAATCTGGCTTTTGAGATGAAAAAGTTGGAGGAGAAGCATGAAACTGGGATGAAGGAGAAAGAGGTGCAGCAGATTTTTAAGCAATGATTGTTGCTTTTACTCTCCTGTGGTACGACTCTTTACTAACAATCGACTCCTCCACCAGAGGATCATCATTGAGAGAGATTCTCTGAAGGAAATCAACGAGGAGCTGCGGTGCACTCAGGCTCAACAGCACCAGCTCTCCCAAGCAGGTATCTCATTTAACATCTACCAGTAATTACATTGTTGAGCTGTGTTGCTTTAATATTCTAAACCGTACATACTTTTGTCACACAGGGATGCTTTCCTCTGGCAGTCCCAGCCACGATAACCTGGCAGCTGAGTTAATACCTGTAGAGTACAGGTAATATCTTCCTGTTATTGCACATGATATGCACATTTTATGACTGTATCCAGTCTGTGAGGGTTCACTTTGTCTGTGTGATTGTTTAGAGAAAAGTTCATCAGGTTGCAGCACGAGAATAAGATGCTGAGAGTGCAGCAGGAGGAATGTGAGCGGGAGAAGATCGCTGCCCTGCAGGCTCAGCTGGAGGATGCTCATAAGACGCGCAGTGAGCTGGACACTGAGAACAGGTTAGCAGACTTTATGTGTCATTCTAAGTCACATGTGGCAGAGGTTCTTTCCTCCGTGTTTTGCTTTTTTTTAATAGTTTTTAGCCGACATGTTGTCCATGCTTACGTATAGTCATGGTGGAGGATGTGGTTTTACATCAAAACATTGGGGGGGGGAGCCTAGAGCCTAGAGCCTATCCCAGCTGACTTAGGGCGAAGGCAGGAAAAATGACTCTCAGTAATTAGTTTTTTCAAACACTGAAATTTGAAGCTAAATTTGGAAAGCAATATTTCAGGAACTATTTATGATAAAAGCTTGACATTTTCTCTTTTAGTACTCATGTAATTTAAAATTGTCATTGATTTGGAATCAGCATATTTGACAAATCGATCTAATAATTTCTGATTATGGGTGAGTTGAAATGTGAAAAAAAATCTAAGCCGCCATGAAAAGCCCTGTCTACTATTTACACACTAACACAGGGATCTCCAACTCTGGTCCACGTGAGCAACTGTCCTGCAGGTTTTCGATGATTCCGTACTGCAACACACCTGACTCAAATGAATGGATCTCCATCAGTTTGTTGTCAAGTTCCACACAAGCCTGTTAATGATCCATTAATTTGAGTCAGGTGTGTTGCAGTACGGAATCATCGAAAACCTGCAGGACAGTAGCTCACGAGCACCGGAGTTAGAGATCCCTGCACTAACAAAAAAACTGATAATGCAGAAGTCAAATAGTGATATTTTCCAAACCACATGTAGCTGCACAAACACAACATATAGCAGGGGTGCCCAGTCCTGGTCCTCGAGAGCCCCTATCCAGCATGTTTTAGATGTTTCCCTCTTCCAACACACCTGATTCAAATGATCAGGATCGTTATCAGGCTTCTGCAGAGCTTGATGATGACCTGATCATTTGAATCAGGTGTGTTGGAAGAGGGAAACATCTAAAACATGCTGGATAGGGGCTCTCGAGGACCAGGATTGGGCACCCCTGACGTATAGAATGCTTTTTAATGCTGCTAATTTGTGTTTAAAGATGGGACTTTTCATGAAGGCTGACATTTTTTTAGATATATATTCATGCAGCTATTTATCATAACACATCCATTATCAGAGATTATTTGTTCTACTTCACTAGAACATCACTATTTTAGGCCGTCCTGTGCACGTTCCAGCTTCTCCACTTTGGTCCTCTCGCTCAGGACATGGTGACCAAGATGGAGAGGGAAGACGGAGAGCAAAAAGAGGAGCAAGAGGGAGCTAAATCTGATATGTGCTGACTGTCTAGCTACACGGCCTTCTCCAGAATCAGACGTCACCTTTTAACTTTCTTTTCAAACATGTGCTTCCTACATGTTAACATTTCTGCTCTCTGCATGGTGCTTAATCTCCAGATTGAGTCGAGAGCGGATCAGTGAGCTGCAGCAGCAGGTCGAGGACCTTCAGAAGGCTCTGCAGAGTCAGGCGGCCAAACCTGATGATGTAAGTGTGCCAACAGGGCCTGGCAGCAACTCAGAGAGAATGCCCCACAGAGTTAATCTTAGACTCTAAGACTTTGTGCTGCTGAATTATTACACAAGAAAATCACTGTGCTCATTTTTAGTCAAAATGTTAAACTGAAAAGAAAAAAAAAAGCCCACATACAGTATTGCCATCCAAAATTAATTACTTTCACCAATTTTACTTTTATTTTTATTTTCAGTCAAACCTGAAGCGAAAACTTGACGCGCACATGTAAGTGTGACTCTGGTTTGTGCTGATAAAGGTTGAGGAATGTACAATTAATTTGCGAATGGAGGTAAAGCTTTTTTTTCCTTCAGGGTCCAGCTGAACGAGGCTCAGGACGAAATCATGAAGAAGAAAGAGCTGCTGGAGGATCTTCAGCCAGACAACACTCAAACCTGTAGGTGTAACGTTGTGCCATCATCATACAAACACTTCTACCCCGTCAACACACTCAACACAAAAGAACCAAAGTGATGGCTCGCAATTTCTTGTTTCAAAGCCTTGAAGGTGGATGAGCTGATGGCAGCTCTGAAGAAGAAGGATGATGACATGCGGGCCATGGAAGAGAGGTACAAGATGTACCTGGAGAAAGCTCGCAATGTGAGTGACTTAATTATTCTGCTGTGAATCCATAAAACTTGATTTTATGTCAAGTACTTTGGGTCTTTGACAGTAATTCACTGTTGTTGTTCCTTCCTTTCTGCTTACAGGTCATCCGAGCACTGGACCCTAAGCTGAATCCTGCGACTGCTGAGATCCAGGCTCTGAGGAACCAGTTGGCAGACCGGGACAAGCAGATTCTCACCCTGGAAGTAAATCTGCATTCTCACTTGTTTGTAGTAAGAATGTCCAGGGGCTGTTTTCAGACCTAACTGATGTTTGACTGGTTTGTCTCCCAGCGTCAGTGTGAGCAGGCCAGACTGAGAGAGTACGAGGAGAAGCTCATTGTCACAGCCTGGTATAACAAGGTAAGACACAATCACAGCAAATTATACATTACATATTTACAGATGGGTGACACATTTAAGGAAAAATACAACATAAAGTGAGTGTGTAGGTTGTTTGGCCACTGTGTGTCGCCAGAACAGCTTCAATACATCTTGACATTCATTTTCCAAGTCTGTGGAACTCTACTGGATGGATGAACACCATTCTTCCAAAAGATATTCCCTCATTTGGTGTTCTGATGATGGCATACAGCATACACCTGTCGTAGGTGTTCAGATCTGCCATAGCATGTGATATAGATCATTTTCATGCAACATTTCAGTGGCTCCTCATGTCCTGTGATGGCAATGTTTCATCGCAGCATAGCGACAGTAACTTCGAACAACTTTGTATTGATTTGCAGTGATTTGACGCATCATTCTCCAGACATAGTACATATTGTTCTGCATTTTTAGGGTTGCGCAGTCTTGATAATGTATTATTTCCTGTTAAGGTTTCCTCTAATATCTTGTGCATATTAATGTTTTGTAAAGCACCTTGTAATTGTAGTTTTGAAAGGTGCTATAGAAATAAAGTTTCTTCTTCATTTTTGTCTTCATCTTTTTCTTTTTGTCTTATTATTATCATTTTTATTATTATTACCCCCCGCAGCTTAACACAGACACCAGATCCCCCCACAGTAGGAGTCAAGGCTTCGGATTTTGCCTGCAATCTGTCACTCCTCTGTGTATCCTCTCTTTTATCATGAAGTTGACAGTCTGCATACTGTTCCTCTGTCCACAGAGTCTGAACTTTCAGAAGCTGGCCATCGAGTCCCGCCTCGGGGGTCGCACTCCCTCCGTGCTGTCACCGGGGCAGTCCTTCCTGTCGCAGCAGCGGCAGGTGTCGAATGCCCCACGCCGGGCGCTTTCCATCAATGTGCCTGCCACTACCTCCAAGTAGACGCACCACGGAGCCAAACATCATTCAACGAAGGCAAAAAAAAAATAAAAATATATATATATATCCTCTCTCCCTCCCACAAGTGAGCACTCAAGTGGCCTTAAACACAATCTGCTCTCAGCACTTGGGGACGAGTAAAGGATAAGCTGATTGGGATCAATGAGCACTTACTTATCAAACACAACCTTAAGGCTCACCCACCTGAGGTTATAGTAAACTGTCCCACTATACACTAGCCTGAAAGCTGAGCTTACATAGCACATTAACCCACAACCTGCTTTCACCTCACTAGCTACAGTAACGCACAACTTTCTGTATATTCCCATTCTGCCCCCGTGTTCGTGCTTTACCGTCTGCAGACTCAGCTAAATACTCGCTATAATCAGTTTAGCCTTGTCCCTCTCAGATCCTGTCATAGTTGGTCAGGAATGAGAGACATGTACATGACTGCTTAATAATTTTATTCAGATTTGGAGCCTATTATAGTAATGAATGTGATTTTTCTTCTTTTTTTTTTTTAAACAAGGGTTACTTGAATGCTAATCAACTAAATGTAACTTCAGATTATTGTAAGTACGAACTGTACCATCATACTATGCAGTGAAGGGGGGGTACTGATATCGTCGCACAGCAGACTGATGAAACAAGCTTTGACAAAATGCTAAATGCTCTATTTGGTGCTGGCCACCAACTGCTTTTACCGATTTAACATCAGTCTCTTCACAAAGTTTTTACTAAAAATGGAACAAGTCCATCATACGAAGCTGTGAAAGTCCTACAAGTCATATTGAACCACAAACAACCTTTAAAGGTGCTGCAGCGACAAATCCTACAGAGTAAATTCAGGAATTGTGTATTTATCAGTTATTTTCTATATTCCCAGAGTGTGATTTGACCTCTCAATGAAAACCGGCAGGTCTTTCTATTCGCTGAATCTTATTTAGTAAAGAGTAGTCCAGACTATAATCTATGAAGTTGTACAGTTGTAATGTAAACATGATTTAAACACCAGCTTTTGATCCAAATGTCACAACCAGGTTAATCATTCATTCAGTACCTGCAAATTGTAACTCGAGAATTTCAATGACCGTAGTCGGCATTTAATCTCAGAAATGTTTTCAGGCCGTTTAGTGGAAGTTCAGAGTAAAGAGCGCTGTACTGTAGAGAAGCAGGGGAATGTCTTGGATATTGTGGGTTATTAGTTGTCTGATGCTACGGACTTTAAGTTAAACTGCACTAGTTTGTCAACGTAAAACGGCTGCTGATTGCCTTCTCTCTTTGTATGTTTGCAACAACACTTACGAGGCATTCTGTTATCATGGTTTTTGCCATATGTGATGAATAGATGTACGTTAAGGCGCTTAAATTCTTGTTTTTGCCGTGGATGATTCTCGTAGGTTGCTGATTGAAAAGCAGTTTTGCTCGTCTAAAAATATGGACGATCAATCATAGCACGGCGCGGAAACTACGCGAGAGGTGTCGTATGTTTGTGTGTAAATGAAGAAACATGAGAAAGGCATTATGAATTTTCAGGAATTTAAGAAGGTACAATTTTAAAGCCTTTGGTTTTTCTTGTGAATAAATAAACTCTTTTTTCTAAAAGTGTATTTTTATATTCAGTCGTGTCAATCTCAGTTTGGGTCCAAAGATAAACGCTCATCAGCACCTTCATGTGACAATAAAGCAGCAATTTACGTCCAAACATCCAACAAGAAACAAAAAAATGGTGTTTTTATTATGACTTTTATTTTTATAGTGTGCAGTAGACCAACAGAATAACTCCTAATATGACAAATACAAAACAATAGACTTCACTGTGAGAGTTGTTGAGCTTGAGTTTTGCTGCTGCTTGTGGCCACTGGTAAAGAATTTTTTAGATTTTATTCTTCCAGCTTCCTAATATTCTCTGGTTTCTGTCCCTCTCAGTGCCCTTAAACTAAATCTATCTGTGTTGTGGACAAAACCAGACATCTAAAGGTGTTATCTTAGGCTGTGGGAAACACTGATCAACATCTTTCATCATCTTTTGACATTTCTTAGACCGATTAATCGAGAAAACAATTGACAAATGTATTATTATTTTGAAGATAATTGTTAGACCTGGTATAAACCAGTGTAGGAAAGCAATTAAGGACTCAAGTGATGTACTTCAGTACAGTTTTGAGGTACTTGGTCCTTACATTTATCTGACCACTTTAATCCTTTTTTAGATGAACATTTTACATAATAGATGATATAAGAAGCTTTTAAACTACAACACATTGTAAAAGATTACACCAGTGGTTTGCAACCTTTTGACCTCTGAGAAAAAAAAACTGTATGTAGATCATATTTCAGATGATCACTAAACTTCTGACAAAGTTTTATTTCAGTAAATGTTCAAATAATCCAATATTGCATGAAAAATCAAATATTGGAGAAAAAAAAATCCAATAACTGAAAACTTGCTCCATTAATGAGCCTTCAGATTTATCTGCAGTACCTGTTTGTAAAACTGTATATAAAGTTGTTCAAACTGGCTCCAACTGCAGCAGCTACAACAGTAACATGCTGCTGACACACTGATGCATGTGGACTAATAATCTCACAATGTTGTATTTGACAATATAGCAGTCAGAGCAACCAAACTAATAGTTATGCTTTCATAGTTTAGCTACTTTTTGCTGCTGTTATTAGGTGCTTTTATACACTATATACTTGGTACTTGGGTTTTTTTTATGCTGGACGATCACCTGATATCAGATATTTTTCACATTGCTGTATTTGTAGCAATGTCAACATACGTCTTCCTTTACAGGTTGTAGCTGAACAAATGGCACACTGTAGTTCCTCTGTGTTGCCAGTTGTGGAAAACATTTCCTTGTGCCATCATCATCTTGCTAAGAATATAAATGATGCTAACTTTTAAGTATTGACAGGGAAACTAGTTGTAATTACAACAGATGCAATATATAATAAATATGTATGAAAATGTTCCTCACACAGTCCCTAGGGGGTCGTTTTACAGGGTTTAGCGGGACTTTGCGTAGATCTTAAAGGGGTACGGTGTTCGTGTGGCTCCGGTGATTCCTTCTGTGCTCAGCTCAGCTCCATCCAGAGTGGAAAAATGAAACCTCTGCAACAAACTGACGAAAAACAAGAACAGCTCCATCCTCGCCAGGCCTTCGCCGAGACACGCTCGCCTTCCTGGTAAGAATAAACACAAGTCTCCTCATCATCCTGCAGACTCACGATTTCCAAAAATGCATTCTTCCATCATGATTAGTTGATTCACCACTGCCATAGTAACTTTATCCAAACCAGGTTTACAAATGCACAGTGCACCTAGCGACCACTGCTGCCATCAGTTCAAGTCTGCTTAGTTATTTATTTTGGTTTAGTTTTTTATACATTGGGTAGATTTTGGTTAAGGGGTAGCAGCAAAGTAAGAATTTCACTGTACAGAGTCTGGTGTACATATGACAATAAACTTCTTGAATCTAATCAAAGTCAGACTAAATGTGTGAAAGTCACCTGCAGAGAAAGGTAAGAATGCCTCCCTCCTCACAAACCTCCCCTCGGCGTCTAGGAAGTGTTCAGGGTTGAAGGTGTTTGGAGTCTCCCATTCGTTCTTGTCAAACAGCACAGAGGTCAGGTTCGGCATCACAGAGGTGCCCTGTGCACCGCACAAGACAATTAAATCACTGTGGCAGTATTTAAATGGCTGGTTTATATTGCAGGACAAGATTGGTAAGTAGAAATATAACAGAGTTAACACTTTTAGTTACACTGAGAGAAAAACTCATTCTGTTTAGGGATAAATGATGAGAAAGCATATTTAACAAGTGGGTAAAAAAAATGTGTTTTCTGCATATAGACATGTAAGATAAATGAACTTGTAACAGTCATGTGTCATGTAAAATGTTCTTGTCCCGACTATCTCAGTAAAATTTGAAGTCACTTTAATCTTCAGGCAGTAGCAATCGCAAATATCAGTGTATAATCAGACTAAATACCTTTAGTATATGGCTTCCTCTAACATTTACTGAACAAGATGAGTCCTTTCAACGTTCAGTATAAGAGAAGAGGAATGTCAGTGTGAAAAATAATCATCATACATAAGGCCTTTAACAGACAAGTCCCAAAATAAGGTTGTGAGGAGCCACAGCTTTACTACAAGAGAAACACATGCAGCAGATGCACACTGGTGTTCCCATATTACTGCTTTTCAGGCAAACTTGACAGACTCATGTTAGTTTAATTAATGCAGTGGACTCCAGCTGCTGTTATGAGTAGAAGTATAGCTGCAGTACATGTGTGCACGTTCTGCACATTTTGCATTCAGTTTTGAACGTTATTGGCAATGTCCTTCTAAGTTTGTAGGTGTTTTTAAATTCTTTTATTTTTTTGTTTGCATCAACATTAAAACCACTGACAGGTGACGCGAAAAACATTGATCATCTCATTAGAAATGCAATGTTCTGTTCTTCCTTTGACACACCACCGGCCAAGACATTGTTGCAGACTGTGGTGGCACGAGACAGACATTGTTTGGTGGCTGGTTTTAATGTTGTGAATGTTTTTGTCATTTATGCAAAGTGCTGCTGCAACACTGTGGTTTCCTCTTGGGGATGAATGAGATATACCTTTGGTATGAAGCAGCCGCCCAGCGTTGTGTCCTTGGCGGCCACCCTGAGTCCGTTGAGTGGAACGATGTTTCCCATCCTCTGGATCTCGTGGATGACAGCGTCAGTATAAGGCAGGTTTGGTCTGTCAGCCATGGAGGGCTGGCGGGTCTGTCCGATCACTCTGTCTATCTCTGCCTGGACTCTCTCTAAGAGGTAAAATACATGTATTTCTTCATTGATCTTTAACATATTCTTCTAGGTATTCGTATCTATTTGCTGTCTGAACCCACCCTGGATGTGAGGGTTCTGGATGAGGTAGATGAGGCCCCACTGCAGAGTCTTTGAAGTGGTTTCACTGCCGGCCAGGAACAGATCCAGACAGCACAGCGCCAAGTTTCCTTCATCAAAACCCTCCTCAGTGTTTCTGTTGTGCTGTTGAGCAGAGTGGAGGAGTCAGTTCATGACAAGGATCTTTTATTTAGGTCACAGTCATAATAAGAGCACATGTTATACACTTAAGTAATGCAAGATTAGTTAATGCTTGAGTTAATGCAGGATGTGTTATGAAGTCCTGTTGCTCACCAGTAACAATAGATCAAGCCACTTTATGTGATCAGTTCACTCTTTGTAGATGATTATTTGAAGAGAATCAATTTATAGTTACTTTATACATGAACTGATATTCAGCACATTTTGGGATTAGCTGAATGACTTGAAGCTTAATTTCAGACTCAGCGTCTCTGAAAGCAGAACAGCACCAGTTCTCTTGAGCTATTTTTTAAAATCAAAGTGGCCATCAGATGCAAACAGCACTAACATGAATAAACTCACATAAATCCACTTTTATGTAACTCATATGCAGCTAATGTGATTTCATATTCATCTGTTTCCTCAGCTAAAAATCTGTTAAGTGTGAACTAACCACATAAAGTTAGAGCGAACTCATTATTTGTTAATGGTGAGGAACAAGAATTCACAAGACATCCTCTAATTAATGTCATGGGTCATCATGAGTTAAGCATTTCTTAAGTATGTAATTTCCACCCTTATTATAAACTGCTACCTTCTCTTTTTAACATACTTTCTCCTCTATGAGGAAGTTGTCGATGTAATCTCGCGGGTTGCTGGGGTCCAGGTCCAGTTTGTGACTCTCAACCTCTCTCCTGATAGAAGCTTCCAGAGACGTGGAGCTGCTGAAGATGCCGTTGTGAGGCCCCGGCAGGCGTTTCATCAGAGCTGGGAACGCATCATACAGCTGTTAGGAGAGGAAATGAAGAACTTATTCACTGTCAGCTCACAGTGTTCCCTGTACGAGGAACCTTTAGTTGGTACACTGACAATTCTACATTTTTATTTGTTCATAAAATGTATTTTTCTGCTTTTTCTTACATTGCTCTAACTAAGTTAACTCTCTAGTTCTGCTTTTCTGCTTTGATGCAGCCATGCCGAGTTGTTGATGAGCCTGAGCTGACTTACTAGAGCCCATATGGAGCCTTCCAGATAGGCCATCTCCGTCAGATTCTTCAGCATGCTCTGGAAGTTGCGGTCAGTGTAGTCAAAGCGCCTCCCGAACACTATCTGGCAGATGATGTTGGCCACGGCGTTGTTCAAGAGCGGCACAGGGTCGAACGGCCCACCTGGACAGAGGAAACGTCTTCAGCCACAGTATGCTATGTGAGTATTCTGCTTCCACTCTCTTACATTTTGGTCTCTTTTTCTGTTGTCAACCTTCCTCCTTCTCCATCGCCTCCTGCAGATGTCGACTCTCGTCACAGATGTTCTGCTCCATGGAGCTCTTGGCCAGGCCGAAGGTGCGTAACGTGGCCATGGCAAACCGCCGCTGCCTCCTCCACACCTTCCCGTTGCTGAAGAAAAGACCCGCTGACACAGAAAGAAAGCAGATGTCACTCAGGTGGGGGCTCCAGAGGCAGGTTCCTGCAGTAGTGATGCAGCTCTGCGTCATTCACCTGAGTTTCCTGAATAAATCCTGGTCACCATCGGGCTGTAAGGTCGGTCCACAAAGCTGTCGGCCTGCGTCACCAAAGCTTCCTTCACCATCTTCCACCCGGACACAAACACTGTTTTGTGTCTTCCCAGACGAATGCAGAACACATTCCCATAAACATCAGCAAGCTGTGGAAGCAGAGAATAGGTGGCTTGTTGTCGAGCATGTGACTGATGGGAGGCGTAATTCAGCACAACATGTTGTTAAGTTTTTGGCCAAAGGTGGAAGAAGCACTCAAGTCTGATACTTAATCAATAGTACCAATACTATTGTGTACAAATACTGTGTTGCAAGTAATAGTCGTACATTTAAATTATAGTTAAGCAAAATAATATAGTATTAGCATCAAAATATGCATCAAGTGCCAAAAGTAAAAGCATTGATTGTGCAGAATTGCATATTTTAGAATAATGCATATTAACAGAATATCAAAATAATGTATGATATTGATGCATCGATGTGTTCATCGCCTAAATGCTGGAGCTGATAGAGATGATTGAACTACTTTCTAAAGTTTTAAAATCTTCCCTTCTGGGCTAAGAAAAGTCTTAACGTATGATATTACACCATTTGTCGATTATATTATATATTATTAAACTAAACCTGCTCATTAGCTCGTGAGTAAAGTTGACAAATAAAGTCAGTGGTGCAGAAAAGACAATACTTTCCTCTAAACTGAGTATTAAAGTAGCCGAAAACAGAAATCAAGTAAAGCACAAATAACTCAGAATTGTACCTGAGTAAATGCAGTTTGTTGCTGACCCACTGTTTTTGGAATTGTTTTACAGAACTGCTGTAAATGAATCTGTGCGACAATAATCTGTAAATGGCCAAAGATGTCGATAAATGTTTCCCAAAGCCCAAGATGACGTCCCTAAATATCTTTTGTCCACAATCCAAAGGTATTTTATTGTCATAGAGGAGGAAATAAACTATAAAATATTCATTGTCTCAAATAAATGGCAACAGTTTTGGTAATTTCATCATTCTTAAAGACTTTTCTGACTTTACAAAGCAGTGACTGTATGGCCCACTAAAGTAGGAACGTTACAACTTACCAGCTATTTCTTTTGTTGTTAAAAATACCGAGGTTGTTCAGGGGGACTTTTCAGAATCTGGTAAAACACGGTGTGGAAAAGCCTCGATGCTGTCAGCTTACCTTGGTGAGGTAAATGTGAGGCTGTTTAGATTCAATGCTGAAGACGTTTCCTAATATAGGCAGAGCTGGTGGTCCTGGAGGGAAGTTTGGTGGATCCTTTTTGCGAAGAAAATATACAAAGAGGAGAACGGCAAAAATAAAAAGCATCATACCCCTCAGATCAGGCCACAGAAACATATCCCACGGCCACATCGTGAAGCAGAGCAGGAGAGCAGGGAAGTGATTAGGACCTCTGGCCTCATCATTCCTTCCCAGTTAGAGACGTCCTGGTATTCTGCTGACTCAGAGCTGAGGTAAATATGATGATCTGTGTGCATGACAGTGAGTCAGGCTCTGTTAACTAATGCAGAATATGGATTGCTTTTAGCTTTTAGCTGCTTGCGAAACACAAAAAGCTGCAACATGAGGCTAAATTATTCTCAGATATCTGATTTTCTTGAGAATGTCCAAATATATCACTGAAATTCAGTGTTGGAGAGTAACTAAGTAAATCCTCCCAAGTAATATACTTAAGTACAAATCTTAAGCATTTTATTTCAGTTTTTATACTTAATGCTTTGTTATACTTCAACTCCACTAAATTTCAGAGAGAAATATGACACCTTCTGCTCCACTACATTTATCTGACAGCTTTAGTTTCCTTTAAAATAAAGACAAACACTTTGATAAAGCCTGAATGAAGCCTAAAAGTTGATTGATTAAAGAACCTTTTGTGCAAAAAGCAGTTTGTAATACCTGACACAGGTATTATATTTCTGATGTCTTAGTTGTTTTTTCATTTTTTTCCCCCTGTAAACTTCCCATATGGTTTATTTAATTATGTTTAAATGAGCCAGAAATGAAAGATTAGAGAAAAAATTCTAAAAGCAGATTTGTGTGTCAGAACTTGACAATTGATGTTGTAATGCTTTCATAAGTAATAATGTATCAGTCCATTTGCTGCAAATACTCATGTGCTTTTACGTAAACAGGAATTTTTCCCGCAGGACTTTTACTTTTACTGTATTAGATCATTTCTAAATAACCGGAGTCTATCCCAGCTGACTCAGGGTGAAGGCAGGGGACACCCTGGACAGGTCACCAGTCTATCACAGGGCTACACTTAGAGACAGACAACCAAGCACACTCACATTCACACCTACAGACAATTTAGAATCACCAATTAACCTCAACATGCTTTTGGACTTTGTGGGAGGAAGCCGGAGAACCCAGAGAGAACTCATGCTGCATGAGGAGAACATGCAAACTCCATGCAGAAAGATCCCAGGTGTTCTCACTGGGACGTGAACTGGAGACCTTCTTGCTGCGAGGCAACAGTGTTAACAACTGCGCCACCTTCACCTTCACCTCCACGCAGACACTACATCAGTGCTGCACTCACTAAACTCAGAATACTAACCCAGTGGATAAAGGATGTTGTATGTTTACCTGTATTTAGTCAGTTTTCACAACGAGGACAGACTTGCACACTGTGTGAGGCTCCCTGTGGTTCCTGAAACTACCAGTAGATGGCACCAAATTCAAACATTTTCAAATTCCACACATAAGTGGCTCTTAAACGTTTACAAGAAGTGGGGTAACTATTCTTTTTGAATTTTAATAATATTATTATTGTAAAAATGATTTTAAAAGGACAGTGCACAGCTCAAACATAAATGACACTGTACCAGATTATTATTAACATATCAGACAGTACAGAATAATATTACAAAATATAAAATTATACAAAAAAAAAAGACCACATCAGGGTCCTCAGCTTTGGAACAACCTGTTTTTGATTAGATAAGACTCACAGAATCAGAGACTGCTTTAAGATGACCTCTGAGATCCAGTTTTACAGACTTGTTTTTATGTGATGCCACCTTTTTTTTTTTTTTTTTTTTTCCCTTTTTTTGCTTATTAAGCTTTTTTTTTCTTATCAAAGGTTTTATTATTTATTTGTATTTATTAATCATGACATATTTCATTTTTTTGTTTTTAACTTTATCTTAATTGTCATGTTGTCTTATGGGTAAGTTGCTTTTGTTTTATCTGTTAAAGCACTTTGTGTACTCTTAATTTTAGAAGTGCTATATGGATTTAGTTCTAACTGCACATTACAAACAAAACCTCAGGTTATTGTTTAAATTAACCAACTTTTGTCTGTGTCATTAAGATTGATAATTAGTAAACATCATGGATTTGTCAGGACTTTATTTATAAGATTATTTATGCAGCATTAAATTGTTTATTACTATTTTGTTCATGTCCTTTAAATCACTGCTGACATTTTAAATTTACCACAATGTAAATAATAAGGTCTCAGTATTAGGGTGTAGTTCTTAACCTTAATTTTGAAATTAGTCAGGTAAATTTGTAGAATAAATAATATTATAGGGCCCTAATTTCAAAACGGTTAAGTACATTTGTAACATTACTCTTATTTCTCTGTTGGAAAACACTTTGGGTGAAGCCTGTTGTTTAAAATGTGCTGCAGAAATGGCAGTGGCTTGACAAGTTTGTGCTTGTCAGATAAATGCAGTTAATGAAGACGACAGGACAGAAAATCAAGAAAAAGTCATTAAGTGCAGCAGCTTTTTGCAGCCCCTCATATTTTCAGGCTACATGAATAACCTCAGCGTATCTCTGAGTTTAAATAAAGGTTGAATGAATGAATAAATATTTTAATTGAAGTATAGCAACAAGCTTGTAAATATGTCACATTTTGAAGCTGCAGTGCCAGCCAACTTACTCAACATGAAATAATACAGTAAGGTTATTATGTTGTGTTTTCACAAATGAGCTAAACACAGGTTTATGACTTAAAACAACAAATCATTTATTAATCATTAACAAATGTTTTGAAATGGTTGTTCATTGTAAACAAATGGCCTATTCAGTCACGTAGCTGATTGATACAAAACAACAGTGTAGTTTTATTATAATTTTACAATGTGCATGCTCACAACATCTTTTTATACATTTTGTTGTTAATAGTGGTAATAATATAAGAATATTGTTATGTGAAAAAAAACTTTGTGATACAGAATTCATAGTAGAGGAGAGAACAATCAGGTTTAATCATACAGGAATAAAAATCTCTGATTAAGAAGAAATGACATTTTTATCTCCTAAAGCCTTCTTTGCTACACGTTGGTGATTTGGAAAATGGTTCTGTGAGTTGCTGCATATTTCAGCGGGCCTTTGCACAAACCTTGAAGGGAACAGGTACACGAGTAGTTCCAGTAATGCCTTCTGTGGTCAGCTCTTCTCCATCGGGAGCAGAAAAAGAGAACTTCTGTAGTAAGCCGACCATAAAGAGGAACAGCTCTATTTTGGCGAGGCCTTCTCCAAGACACACACGTTTCCCTGAAGAGTTCACAAAGATACGCAGGATTAAAATCTACAGATGAGAGTTTTGTCAGGACCCCCCCCCAGCCTCAGGCCTCAGTCCCTGCCAGGCTCCGTCTCTCTCGGTCTCTTTCTCCCTTGGCTTGGCTCTCCCTCTCCTGCCACTATGTGATTCTAACACTCACACCCCCTTTGTGTCTGTTAACTGCAGGTATTGGAGATCGGCTCACCTGTGTACCATCATCCAGATATAGAAAGGTCCAGTTCTTTCCACCATACGCTGCCAGACCATAGACAATGAAACCCTGGTTCCCTGCCAGTCCCCGAGCTGTGTCCTGTCTGACTTCTCCAAGCCACTGCCGCCCGAATTTCCTGCATCGACTACACACTTGCCGCTTGGATCCCACCCACAGCCAGCCTTTACCCGGCGTTGGACCCCCAACCTGTCTCCTGTCTGCTTTCCCTAACCACTGCCGCCTGCCCACCCTGCATTGGCAACACGTGTGCCACTCAGATCCTGCCTGTACCGGCTTTACCCCAGCCCTCGCCAACCCCAACTCATCTCGCCAGACCCCGGATTCCAAGAACCTGCCTGCCCCTTTAGTTCAGTTCCCCAGTCCAGTGAGGGTCCCCATTTTAGTAGTCTAAGATTGTCCAAGGGTTTTGTAGCTTTTTCCCCTTTTTTTTGAATGGAGTCTGGTTTGACCCACTCTGTTTGCCCCTCAGTTTAGTTTCCTTGTTCTGTATTGGTTTGTATTGCCTGTCTGCACATGGGTTCCAGCACCGCCATAACAAATTTATGTTATCTGTCAAGTTGTAAGAGGTCAATGTGGTGGTCTTTACCTGCAGAGAAAGGAAGGAATGCTTCTCTCTTCACAAACTTCCCCTCAGCATCCAGGAAGTGTCCTGGGTTGAAGGTGTCTGGAGTCTCCCATTCATCCTTGTCAAACAGCACAGAGGTCAGGAAGGGCATCACGGACGTACCCTGAAAATGATAACCAAAGTCCACACAGGACAACAATAAGGTACGCTGCAACACTTGGCTAATTATTAACACTTGAAATTAATGTAAATTAAATGCAACCTTTGGTACGAAGTAACCACCCAGTGTCGTGTCCTTGCAAGACATCCTGAGTCCGTTGAGTGGAACAATGTTTCCCATCCTCTGGCTCTCGTGGATGACAGCATCAGTGTAAGGCATGTTTGGTCTGTCAGCCATGGAGGGCTGGCGGGTCTGTCCGATCACTCTGTCTATCTCTGCATGCACTTTCTCTGTTGAAGGAAATTAATGGACTTTAGCTTAAACTTGGGGTGAAAATGTTCTTTCCTGTCACCAAACCAATGTATATTTTGTGTACCACATTTCCATTCTTTGATGTGTGTCTAATGTATGAGTTAAAAATAAACAATGCAAAATATCACTCATTTTAAATTTAAGCGGCCAGTGATGGCAAATTATAATCCACTAACATTGGCACTAACCTCAGGATGAATCTTTGTTTACATCAGCTGTCACACAGATGTCACAAATTTGAACAACTATCTGAATATATGCAGCATTACCACATGACACTTGAGAAATCTATAATGTAAACTGAACACAATGAACAGTTGTGTATTTCAGATTGCAAAGGACACTGTTAAATATGCCACTGGAGTATAGCAATGCTCTCCTAAGGGATGCTTATTTTCACATAAATTTGATGGCTGAGTGTCATTAGAAGTCACTATAGACATTATCATGGTGCCTCTTTACTAGCCAAACCCCAACAATGCTTTCTGTCTTCACACTAATATTTAGTTTATTCATCCAAATGTTGTGTGTTTTCTTTATATATATAATATGGTCAGGCCTTAACCATAATATTTAAACTTGATAGAAGAATTTTTAATGGTAGTCTCATTTCACTATTGGGAAGTTCTTTCGCTCAACAGCACATATTTTTAATTTGCCACACAAATAAAGATAGCTCAACTTCCCTTAGTGAACATGCTCATGTTCCACTTAAAGATGGCAGAGACAGAAAATGTAATTACAGTCATTTAGTTCACAGAGCTGCTACCATTGTTTTCTTGCTATATCTCCTTGAAAAGCCCACCTACCCTGAATCTCAGGGTATTTCATGAGGTAAACCAAAGCCCACAGCATAGTGGTGGCGGTAGTTTCTGTTCCAGCCAGGAACAGATCCATTGAGCACAGAGCCAGATTGGTCTCAGTGAAGCCCAGCTCACCATCTTTGTACTGTTCAAAAAAGCAGAAAAGACACATTTCTGAAAGACTGGTAGCTTAACAGAAGTGTTGTACTGTGCAATATGTGCAATGCAGTTGTTAGCTTACATTCTCCATCTCAATAAGGAAAGTGTCGATGTAGTCTCGAGGATTGTTGCGGTCCAGATCCTTCTTGTGCTTGTTCACCTCCTTTTTGAAGAAGTCTTGAATGGTGACATGATGGCTGAAGAGTTCGTTGTGAGGACCTGGCATGTGCTTCATCAGTCTGGGGAAGGAGTCATAGAGCTACTCGAAACAAAACAGGTGATAAAAGAAACTTTTGTTAACATCACTTTTCACCTTCTGCTAGAAAGTTTGACAACCAACATCATCCAGTCCATTACAGAAGATGGACTCTCACAGTCATATCAGAGTATTGTCTCTCTGGTAATGACTAAACTGAGTGGAAGTGATTGACTTACTAGAGCCCATACGGAGCCCTCCAGGCGAAGAATCTCAGCCAGATGCTTCAGCATGATCTGAAAGTTGTGGTCACTGTAGTCAAACCTTCTCCCCATCACCATCTGGCAAATAATGTTGGATACAGCATTGTTGAAGAGGGTTGCTGGGTTGAAAGGTCGACCTGAGAAAGAGGACACCACTGCTTGAAAAAAAAAGTTTTTGTTACCTCAGCTCTTTCTCCTAAGTCTGTTGAACTAAAATGTTGAATTTATTTAAAATAGTAAGCTTTACATACATCTGCAATCAGGATGAATATATGCACTTAAGATGTTTTTTTAATAGAACTTTTTATTCGAGCCATTAATAATTAATTAATTAATTGTCATTCATAATTTAAGCCTTGTACATTAGCAGTAGTAGCAGTTGCGTCACCAGGTATAGCCTGTTACTGTTTAATGAGATGGAAGACTGCAGCTTGTCTGTTGTGTTTAATATTGTAGTAACCTGAGGAGGCAGCTTTGTGTTGACATGGCAAAGAATCACGGGAATGTTGATGTTCAAACCCAAATTAGTAGTTTTTGTGATGGTTATTTCAGTTGTGTTTGAATTTTGATTGTTGTTGATGGGTGAGGTGGTTTTCAGTCTTTGTGTGGCCAAGAGCATTGTAAGGGCTTGGATAGCATTGGGCCACCATAACAGAGACTTCTGTAATGGTTAATGTCTGTTTGGCACTCACATACAGAGATAACTCAACTGTACGTGACATTAAAAAGTCACTCTTAAACCCCTGGCTGAGCATCGCTTTATTGGAGTTCTCCCCAGAGAACAAGAGGGTCATCTCTCTGTGACTGTGTGTTGCAGGGGGGAAATGCTGACTGTTGTTTGTGCTTATGCACCAAACAGCAGCTCAGAGTATTCAGCCTTCTTGGAGTCTCTGGGGTGTACCCTGGAAGTGGTGCCACCTGGGGACTCCATAGTTGTCCTGGGTGACTTCAACCCTCATGTGGGTAACGACAGAGAAACCTGGAAGGGGGTTGATTGGGAGGAAAGGCCTGCCCGATCTGAACCCAAGTACCGTTATGTTATTGGACTATGTTATTGGTCATAGACTGGCCACAGGAAACCCCATGTTTGAGCATAAGGTAGTTCATAAGTGCACTTGGTACCAGAGCACCTTAGCCCCAAAGGTTGATGATCGACTTTGTGGTTGTGTCATCAGAACTGTGGCCATGTCTCAGTCACTCAGGTGAAGAGAGGAGCAGAGCTGTCAACTGATCCCCACCTGGTGGTGTGTTGGATCCATAGGTGGGGAAGGCTGCTGGACAGACCTGGTAAATCCAAACGTGTAGTGTGGGTGGGCTGGGAATGTCTGGCAGAGGCCCCTGTCTGGGGGGTTTTCAACACCCACCTCCGGAGCAGTTTCTTCTGCATCCTGGGGGAGGTTGGGGACATGGAGTCAGAGTGGGCCATGTTCAAAGCTTCCATTGCAGAAGTGGCTGTTGGGAGCTGCAGCCAGAAGGTCACTGATGGCAGTTTCTGAAGCTAAAATTTGAGTGTGGGAGGATTTTGGTGAGGCTATGGAGAAGGACTTTCGGGTGGCCTCGTGGAAGTTCTGGTAAACCATTCAATGCCTTAAAGGGCTTTCACACAGGACGCCGTGCCACTGCGCTCTGAAACCCACTCATGTCTTTTGCTTACGCTGCACAGCAACAGATTTGCCCCGAGACGCTGAAGGCTCTTGACATTGTTGGACTGTTTTGGCTGACACGTCTCTTTAGTGTCACGTCTGACATGTCTTTTTCCTCTGGAAAGTTTACTGTAGGGTGCTGGAAGAGAGACTCCGATCGATTGTCAAACCTCAGACGAGGAGGAGCAATGTGGATTCTGTCTTGGTCATTAAACAGTGGACCAGTTCTTTATCCTTGTGGAGCTGGAAATTTGGCCAGCCAGTCCACATGTATTTTGTGGATTTGGAGAAGGCCTACGACCATGTCCCTGAAGGGCTCTGTGAAGGGTACTGCGGAGGTATGGGGTAGTGGACTCACTGATACAAGGCATTCACTCCCTGTACAACCAAAGTGAGAGCTGTGTCCGTATTCGCGGCACAAAGTCAGACACGTTTCCAGCGGGTGTTGACTACCAGGGCTGCCCCTTGTCTCCAATCCTGTTTTTGGTGTTCATGGACAGGATCTCAGATGGACAGGTGTCTTGGTGTGGTGTCAGCAGTAATGCGGGCGTTGAGCTGGACCATTGTGGTCAAGAGGGAGCTGAGCTGTAAGGCACAGCTCTCCATTTACCAGTTCATCTACGTTCCAACCCTCACCTATGACAATGGATGGTGAATGAAAGAATGAGATTCAAGCGGATCCAAGTGGCCGAAATGAGCTTCCTCCATAGGGTGACTGGGTTTAGCCTTAGAGATAGGGTGAGAAGCTCTGACATCCGGAGGGAGCTCGGAGTAAAGTCATTTCTACTTTGCATCGAAGGGAGCCAACTGAGGTGGTTTGGATATTTGATTCAGATGCCTCCAGGGAGACTTCCTTTGGAGGTTTTCCAAGCACGTTCACTTGGGAGGAGACCCTGGTGTAGACCCAGAACCTGTTGGAGGGATTGTGTTTCTCAGCTGGCGTGGGAACACCTCAGGATCAACCAGGAAGAACTGGAAAGCATTACCCGGGATCGAAACAATTGGAATGACCTGCTTCGTCTGCTGCCTCCGAGACCTGACCTCGGATCAGCGGAAGAAAACACGTGGACAAAATTGTTGGTACCCCTCGGGTTTAATGAAAGCAAAGCCCACAACGATCACAGAAATAACTTGAATCTGACAAAAGTAATAATAAATAAAAATCCTATGAAAATTAACTAATAAAAATCAGACATTGCTTTTGAACTGTGGTTCAACAGAATTATTTTAAGAAATAAACTCATGAAACAAGCCTGGACAAAACTGATGGTGCCCTTAACTTAATATTTTGTTTTACAACCTTTTGAGGGCTCATCTGCAGCAGACACATGCTACTCATTTTATTTGTAACTGAAAATAGAAACCTTTTTGTGTGCACAGATTACGCAGTTCGAACAAACTTAACTTCTCCACTGAGATAGTCGATTCCTGGAAAAGCAACTTAGCTGTCTTTAAAAGATATCTTAATTCAATAAGATGTTTTGTTCCAACAACTTTTACTTTTGTGTTTTCAAGATATCTCAAGATATCAGTAGGTTTTTGGTTTTACTCGTCATTTTATGTTGCTTCAGCTGGGATTTAGGTTTCAACTGTTGTTATCCATAAAAAAGTTTGCTGATTAAACTTAAAATATAAAGTTGATGGGACTATTTTGTCAGCTTCCCCTTTATCAGCCCAACTATTTATTCGAAGTTGAAGGAAGCCAGATATATGGGCAAGCAACTGAAATTTTTTAGCTTGTGTAGGTCACAAAGTGTTTTAGATTGAACATGTGTGTTCATTTTTGCAGTGTGCTTGCTATTGCGAGTGCTTGTGCAAAGTTTAAGTTGTTCTCAAGGTAAATCACCTTTTTCCTTCTCAATCTCCTCCTGCAGGTGTCGGAGCTCCTCACAGATACACTGTTCTGTGATGTTTTTGCCCATTCCAAAGGTGCGTAAGGTGGACAAAGCGAAGCGTCGCTGCCTCTTCCAAGTTTCACCGTTGCTCACGAATAGACCACCTACAGACAAAAGAATGCAGAGGTGAAGAATAACTTGTGTGCAACTAATATCTGTACAGAATGTGGCAAGGAATGGAGAATTATTTTCACCTGATGCTCCTAAGTAAAACCTTTCAAACATTGCACTGTACGGTCGATCCACAAAACTTTCTCCTTGTGTCACCATGGCTTCCTTCAGCATCTTGTACCCACACACAAACACTATCCTATCACCACGCATGCGGACACTGTACACATTCCCATAGGTTTCAGCCAGCTGTGGACAAGAAACAAGTATTGATGAGCCACAACATCCCAATACATCAGTCATTTAAAATAAAAAAACAACAAAACAAACACCAAACCTCATTGTCATGTGTATTTAGATGGGAGAATTTCCTCCTATGTTTAGATTAGACGACTATACATCAATATCTGAAACAGGTTTCTGGATAAAAATCATTGTTTACAAGCCAAATGCACATTTTCCAATGTACATGAGTTAAGGTTGCATTTTTGTGGTAAAATAATTAAAAATAACTGCAATAGCCCCATTTTTAAGGGATTGTTGTTGTTTTCCACGTGTGCTGCTATCCTGAGCACTAGTGCAATACTATTGGGGAAACAGTTTAAACTTTGAGCTAAATTCTATTAATTTAATTTAATATATAAATATCTCAGTAGTTGATGAAAACATGCACAGCAGAAAATAATTTTAAAACGCAACCTGGAAACAAAAAAAGGTTTGAAATTGTTTTAAAGTCATTTTTTATTTTTTTTATTTTTTTTATAAAATATGCATTAACAAATAACATGACTTTCAATCTTTGATCCTTAATACTCACAAGCTCTTTAAGATCAAACCTGTATATAAATCAGTACCTTGCTGAAATAATTGTGTGGGTGTTTGGCATCCACACTCAGGACATTCCCCACGATAGGCAGACCCCGTGGTCCTGGAGGAAAATTTGGTGGACTCCTGTTTTTAAGGTAGTCTGCTATTACAATAAACAGTAAAATAAATAGGAATAGTCCCTGTAGGTCAAAACTCAGCAAAAAATTAAAAAGCCACATGGTTAGATGGAGCAAAAGCAGCACCACGATGACTGTGTATGCTTTCTAAGATTTTCCTCGTCCTCACTAGAAAGACCAGTGTAACTAATTGTTTAGAGTATAAAGCCCGCCCTGTCCTGACTTAACCTTACTCTGGTCCACCCACTCAGGACATGATGGGGAAAAAAAACTCAGTCTTCCCAGAGAGGCCTGCGATAGTGTCCTTACATAACCAGCTACAAATTCCTCCTTCTTTCAACAACCGAGACCTCAGTTGTGCATGTTATGCAATAATTTGGCAATCAGTCATTGGCAACAATACATTCAGCTCAGCAGTATATTAAAATTGCAGTCCTGTTCAAGAGGAGTTGTTCCTCTCCACTCTCACCAGGTATATTTGTATAATGCGGTAGGTTCTTAACCCTAATACTGAAGTTATTCAGGTTACTTTGCATTGTGTATAATATTGTCAATGTTTAATCTTAATGTGTAAACGTGTAACATCAATCTCATTTGTCTGTTGGAAAGCAATTCCCACTGTTAAATATGTTACATAAACTATGGTGATTTTCCTTCATAAAATCTCCACGACTTTTACAGTGACCTAGTGTAAATAGACTCAAGTCAATAAAACAAAGTGCAGTTGTGACAAAGTGGATCCAACTGTTTCATTGCACTGTTGCATGTAAATCAGTGGAAATGTCAGGTGTGGTATCTAAAAGCAGTCAATCAAGTTGAAAAATAAGCAAAATGTAATTAAATCATTAGTAAGAAAATGGTCTGACTGGACAGTAAAAGCTCCCAGTGGATTCAGATGTAAGCCAGATGTTTTCTCACCGGCATAGATAAGCACTTCTGAAAAACATTACATAACTCAGTCAACTTATCAAACTCAGTGTGTTTGTGTAAAGTTTTCAAACCTCCCCGCTTTGTGTTCTTTACCCAAATCCTGACCGACTCTCTAAATTGTTCACCAAGTGTACATGAACAACTCCAGCCGCAGCTGTTTAACCCTTTATCGGGCAAGGAACCATATATGGTAACGTCCTTAGGCTTTAAAAATGGCCGGGGGCATAATCATGTGACTTCATCCAGCCAATCAACGAAGCCCAGGCTACATCACAACACAGTCACTAAGGTCTCTGACCAATCACAAGTGAGCCAGAGTGATATTTTGACAAGTGTCGTTAGTTCCATCTGACTGGTGATTTGGAAATAAATGTCCCTCCATGTTTATATGTGCTTTATTATTATTATTTATTTATTTTTAACAAAAATGTATCCACACATTATCTAGATTTTTTTTTTTTTTTTTTTTTTTTTTTACCCTAGGTGGACGAGGAATCATGTATGGTAACTGTTTTGAACTTGATTTGCAGCCTAAATCCAAAACTTAAAAAAAAAAAAAAAAAAGAGAGAAAAAAACTGATATCCACTAATAACAGTCCAAGGTTGAAATTTTAAATTTCCATGTATTCGCAGGGGGGCTGGAGCCTATCCCAGCTGACTTAGGGAAAAGGCAGGGGACACCCTGGACAGGTC